GTCTTAGATCTTTGAGTTCAGCTCATGACAAATGGGGGCAAAAACAAAAGTGTTGCATTTATAATTTTGTTCAGCGTATGAACCTGTATACGTGATTTGAGTTTTGAAGTCATAATATTTTCTAAGAAATTGTGCAAAAATTAGGCTCTTAATTGAAACTCTTGCCCTGTAAATCATACTTTGTGTGAAAAGGAATAAGAGTTGTTGGAGTTTTACTGCCTATAGTGTTCATTTCAAGTGAAAACTGCAGCAATTTGTATGTATGTGTGTTCGAGACCTAATCAGATTATACCCCAGATACCCCTGATGAACACCCAAATTTATAAGCCTCCCAGTAGCAGGCTTTCAATTAAATGAAAAGGACAAGCAGGAACAATGCCACAAGATCACAAGTTTATTGATCAAAATCACTACTAAAAACATTGAGCTCAACATTCATTAGGAAAAAACAAAAAAACAAAACAACAAAACAACACACACCTTAAGTCAACCACTGGCTTAAGCCATCACAAGTTTATTTATCATAATCACTACTAAAAACATTGAGCTCAACATTCATAAAAAAAAAGACACTTTACACCTTAAAAGTCAACCACTTGGCTTAAACCAAACTAGCATTCATTGGCATTGGTAGCGGAGGTGTCCAAATACATTGCTTATGGGGCCCCAAAGAAACAAGCCTTCAATTACTGTACACTGTGCTTCAACACTACATAACCAGCCCAATGGCTTTGGTTTAGTCGGACCAAATGAACCGGCCACCCCTATACTCACAAAAAAAATGAGAATAATAATAATGACAATAATAGCAATGAATAACAATACAAAAAAAAGAAACAGATCACAAAAAAAATAAAGGCGGTTACTTTCTTTGATGTTATACCTTTACACCAAACATTAGATACAGCTCAAATCATGAACCAAGAGTGGAAAAAAATAATAAAATACACTTAAACAATCCAAACCAACCAATAAACAAAAAAAAAATTATACATTCACTACTTCAAACCAAAACAACATAATACACCATCAGAAAAGAGAAAATAACAAAATCAAAAGAAAAAAGAAATCACCCCAAAATAAACCATAAATTCTCAGTTCCTTAACTGAGCAATATCAATGTAAGGTAAGACAAAGAAATAGTACCCAGACCCCAATAACAAAATTCAAACAAACACCCAAATCGACTTACAACAAAACCAAATACTACAAATAAGAATACAATAAACAAATCAAACAACAACAACACCAAAAAAAAGGGAAAAAAAAAAAAATTAAATCCAACTCAAATGCACGCACGCGCGCACACACACACACACACACACACCCAATTTAACAAGACACACGCACAGGTGAACAACACAAATCAACAATGTACTGGCAACCGACCACCAGGTGGCAGCGGAACAAGAGGCAAAGCTCTTGCGTCTCCAAGGCAAGCGATGTACAGACAATAGCGAACTGAAGGCGTTCAAAGCAACAGTGCGCAAGCAACAGTCCGGCGTCCCAAAACTGGAACCGGTATATAAGCCACAACAAAGCAGCAGCTGGCGACTTCTGCAAAACAACAAATATACATTTTTCTTCTGCTTCTCTCTCTCCACTTTTCTCCCCTCAAACATTTTAGAATATAAATAAGGTAAAAGAACATTTACCTTTCATGCGCACGACACTTACATTACTCACTAACAATGCCTGGATGCACACGACTAATCTAAAATTACATGAAACAACAATCACATTAATCCAAATACGAATTAAATTAGTCCCCCCCCCAAAACACCCATATTTTAAATGTATAATTCCCTTTTGTCTAAAAGACTTTAAAAACGACAACCATACCTTTCGAGAGGAGTGAGGAAGATACACGACCCACACAAACAGGTCACATCAGTGCAATGCCACGAGGAAACTGAAATCTCACCTGTGTCTATATAATTACGTGATTACCTGACGTGAAATCTCACCTGTGATTACCTGAAGTGAAATCTCACCTGTGTCTATATAATTACGTGGTTACCTGACGTACCAACCCACCACGCACTCCACGCACCATTCTTAAAGGGGCCATGCTACTACATTTAGGTATGTTTTTTTGTTTTGTTTTGCAGAAATGTAGGTAGAGGCACGTATTTCCAGTGAGCCTGGATAGATTTATGTTCATGTGTAATTTGGTTTCTACCAAGAAATAAACACTGTAGTCAGTGGTTGCTTTCTGTAGATATTGTAAAAGCTCTAAAGCTTGCTTGAATGTATTCTAAATCTCTAAATAACCAGTCTGACGAATCTTTTCAGTTTCGCAAAGCGAAATCACGGGCCATCTAATAAGATTTTAGGTAGGATCACGTGACCGGAGCAGCTGCTGTTGCACAAACGGGTTAGAGTGGTGGCGCTGTTTCGAAAACCAGTGTAAACAAACCTAGTATCCCGGATAAGAGGAGAGAGTGGATGTTGAGTTCTTGTTATCATTGGTATTTGAGAACAGGTTTATTCCCATATGTTCTTTATACAGAATAACATTTATATTAATTGTCTACTGAATTATGTAGTCACAGTAGAGCACCGTCCGTTTTCTTCCACGTGCGCGAGTGTTATGAGTCAGAGCGAGTTAACTCTTTTTCTACACATGAAATATGAAAGCAAATAGACATGATTATGACGATATATTTTCTGTATGTTTTGTATGCAGCTCGAGGTATTTTTATAGCAATAAAGGATGTTTATGACAAATATTAGCAGTGTAGCGTTATTAAACATACAAGGAGTGCATGTGTCTGCTTATTAATCAAAATCAAGATCACAATCGGAAGTTATTACAAGCACTCAATAATGGTTTATAGTGGGTAGCAAATACATTAATAATTACATACATTTTCAAGTGTAGCTTGATGCTAATTGTACTTCTAATTATATTTTAGGATGTAGCCTATTCTTGTAAGCATTATAGATAGTTTGTGTTTCTGGTGTAGCTAGAACCAAACTTTGTTTATCTTAATTTAATGCTGTATATTGAGCAGCGGATGATGTTAAATCCATTTACGAGATACATATCTGAGGAAAAATGCATTGTTGGTCGGCGCCACCTAGCGTGCAGGCGTGAATTAACAGAAGGCGAAGGTGAAAAGGTGAAAGCACCGTTCGTCGGCGATTTGCCTCGCTTTTTCGCATCGCGCTCAGTGTGGAAAGGCCTTTAGTCTTACAGGGAATCTGATCATGAGCTGATGTGGCTCAGTAGAAATAATTATTGCCTTAAGTGCAAGAGACCACAAGTTTGAATCTTGTGGAACAGATTGAATTTGAATTTGTTTAACAGAGATGTAAATTAGTAAAGGTGTCATATTTGGTTGCAGTTTCTTATGTGATATCACTGAAACAGACAGCATTTGGAAGAGAGAAATAGAAATGCAGTGAATCTGTGGCAGCTCTTGAACATTGCTGCCATACTGCATGTCACCTATGAGTGAACCCACCACTGCCTGGAGAGAAAGATAATATTTTTAAAGTTTAACATCTGGCAGGGTAAGAGTTTAGACTGAAATACCTTTAGATATCAGGATATTTTTGTCTTCGTATTTTTTTTAAATCAAATTGGATACTGCAGCTCTGCAGTCATAATATAGTACAGCAGAGAAAATTGAGATGAGACTTCCTGATATTACCAGATGTCCACAAAACTGCACTTTCTTAAAACCAAAATTTTGAATGATCGAAGTTCTGTGACTCATTGCTTTAACAGCCAGGTTGGTATAAAAATGCTATGACTTGTGATTATATACATTTTAGGATTGTCACCTGTCTTCTAAGAAATACTATATGTCTCAACCAAACCAAACCTCCGGCCTTATTGGTGGTAATCACAGTTTGATGTTTTGGCTTCTTTTGGAACTATTTTCATTTTACAAAGTAGAACTATACAATCCAGCAAGTTTTTATCTGAATCCTAACAGTTGCATAAAAGCCTGATATTTAGTACAACAGCACAATTGCACATGTGATATTGCTAAAATATAACCACAATAAATAATAAGCAGCAAGTGGCATACAGTATTATAACTTGAATTTCTTTGGCCAAGTTTTGTTGGCTGATATTAAATTATTCTCCAAAGTTTCTAAATCAGATTGTAGGCTTTTAAACTCTCTAAGATGAGTTGAGCTACATAAACAGAGGAAGATAATCCAGGAAGTCATGAAGCTCTGATTACATTCAATACAGCTAATCAATCCCTGGGTAGGGCTGCACCAGCTGTTTGTAAGTACTTACTTAAATTTGAATGTAAATCCAAACTCGAGGATAAGTAACTACTAGCTAACTAACACTGTAGAATGCAGCTAGTAGGGTGTAAGCGCTCTGAAAAGTGCTGCATAGTCGCCTAATATGAAATTTACCTTCAATGATCCAAAAGCAGCCTTCAAAACTGTGAGCAGACATACTCATGTTTATCCTGTTTAGGTTGGTTCTAACTTATTTTGCATTCCATAGCTTATAGTAAAAATATGGAAAGTTTCCACTAAAATATGATACTTAATCCTGAAATAATGTCATAACGATTTCATTATGTTATTATGCAAATAACATTCAGGAAATAAATCAGTAAATACTGATTAAAAAATAATATATATATAAAAAAAAAAAAAAACATCAACCAAGTCAAACAGCATGAGGTTTATCTTATGCATAACATATGCAGAGGGGAAAAAAAATTATTATTATATTTATTATTAATTTTAACATGCACATTGAGGACATATAGTTATTCTGTTTAAAACGGGCTTGTGTTGAAGAGCCACAAACAAGTAATTTAGTCACATAATGTTCTCTCTCATAAAATGTAAATGAGTGTAAATGTCAATATCATCATATATGTGTTAATAATTGAAGTCTGTCAGGTAAGACAAGCTTATTAATGCAGTTCAATCATCTTTTGATCGCTTATTCCATTCACAGCTGTTCTCCAGATACACATCATGGAAACTGTTAAACCTTTTTAAACCACGGGTATCAAATAGCTCGATCTCACTTGCACAGGCCTGAAATGACACATACATGGCACACCCACAGCTAACAATACAAGTCAGTTCCACACTGAAAGAGACAGGCTTCCTGCAGGTTCTTCAGACCAGCCAAGCAAGACTCTTGAGTGGGTATGTTCATTCCACTGCTGCAAAACAACACATTCCTTAATACAATTGCCTCAATTTCCCTGTTGTGACTAAGAAACAGCCAAATTGCATATTGTTTGAAACAACAGGCATTTTGTTGGTATGCTATGGTGGGCATTTCAAAGAAGCTAATTGGAGCAAGGAGGTCTATAAAACTATACCTGGAGAAAAATCTACGTTAGCATTCACATTCATCTTAATGGCAGCTGCTCAGCTGGTGCAGGACCCCCACAAGAACACAATCCGGATTCTGCCATCTTTGATTCATGAACACAATTGTATTTATTTATTTGAGTCAATCAACTGAGTCGTAAATGGCATGTCACAGATCACTCTAGCTGCATACGAAATTGCACACTTCCCTACTATATAGTATATAATTTCTTACTGTACTGTACGTGAAAAGACTAGCATGTCTGAATTCACAGTATTCATAAAACAGTAGGCGAAAAGTACCCAGATGACCTACTACTTCCAGCGAGATTCTGAAGTGCCCATCTCATGGACACTTTACTATCCCATGAGGCTACAGGAGAGAAGAGTGAATGGAAATGAAGCAACACAAGTGACGCTAGTAGGTTACATGACAATGACAATGCAACAAATGTAGTGCGTCCAGATTTCATTCATACAACATACATTCATAGTCTATAAAACATACTTTAACACATTCATAGTCTATAAAACATACTTTTTAAACAATCACAAAGTAAATACTTCTTCCAAAATAATACCTACTCAGAGAGTATGTGATTTTATATGCAGCCTCTGTGTTTGACACAACTTTGGTTAGCATGCACAGCTAGCCCCTGTTGATAGATGTCATAACTACATCATTTTGGGGCAAAAAAAAAAAAGCATGTCTCCAACCAAAAGTACTGTACCTGTTTATTCTGACAAGTATACAAGTATTTTTGCAATCACCAGCTAAGCACATGGCACTGAGATCTATAGGAATGCTAATATATAGTGTTCACCGAGCATTAAAGACCTAGCTTTTTGCTTTGCTAATGTTACTATTATTATTGATGTTTTTTTGTGTTTTCTATGCATAACCTCTTATGTGTCATCAATTAATATTGCTGTATGGCTAGCACTTTGTTTTAAAAAATGCTTTATTTCTGTTAATGTTGTGCTATGGGTTAATGGTGTTGGGTTGTCAGCTTTTGTTTCCTCCGCTAATGCTGTCATGTTTTGCACCCCAGGGCCACCGTAATATGCAAATGTGTAATTCATTTGAACATATTTTGCCCCCCCCCATCAAAGTACGACACTAGAACAAGCTTTGCATTTTATTAAACTGTACTGGCTGATTGATTATCCTCAATAAAAATATGAAAAGTTGTCTTCCAGAGACTCTGTGGAGATGTCAGTGGCTTGCACTTGTCCTTAGGGTAATGGGCAATTTCTTTTCCTCAGTGTGTTCGCTTCTGCTACTCTGCAGTCTATTAATCTGTCTGCTGTGAATGCAATACATGTGGGGTTGTACAACAGAAATAAAACTTCTCAGAAATAGAAGTGTCCCAATGCAGCAACCAATGTCAGTAATTAAAGCAATAGTTCACACAAAAATTTAAATTCTGTCATTGATTCATAATGTCGTTATTATTGCTATTACTGTTTTTAATGCATTTATAAGATTATATATCTCTATATCTCAAACACATTACCCACAGGATAATGACACTATTTTAGCTTAATAAAAAAGGGTCCCACTTTATATTAAGTGACTTT